CGTGAATTTGTTTTGTCAACCCAACAGTTGGTGTTTGCACTCGTCCTTCACAGGTTAAATCCGACACACACACACACGCACACACACACATATATGCTTGCTGTTCACACACACACACACATATACATATATATATATATATATATATATATATATATATATTGGACCAAACATACTCAACATTTCTTAAAACATCAGTGCAAATATTGATGTACATGTCAGGAAGATTTACAGCTTGGTTGGGAAAACACCGAGCCACTGATGCCCATCTAAAAATACCCTCTCCAAACACTGATGTAATCTCTCAAGCAGATTTTTTCTGCCGGTGCAAAAGAAGGGAGCAGAGTATGTGAGAGATAGTGTGGTACACCACAGCCGTGCAGATGTGTCTGACTGTCTGACAATTCAAGGCCTTCACCATCTCAGGTAAAAGGCAACAGTCGTAGTCAGATCTAGAGCAGCAGAGAGCCGAGGTGCAAATTGTGCAAAATGTCAGCTCAGTTCGTAAATGCACAATCTGTTCATCTTGCAGACAAAACAAAAGCTTTCTGTTTGGAGGGTTGTATGAAAAATGTCAAAAACAAAAGCCGTGTAAAAATGTGTGGCATTTTAGCAATGGAAGGATAGACGCAACTTCTGTGCAGTTTTTATGCCAAAGTGGAATAAAACATATTTGAAAAACACAATAAAGTTATTTTCTCAGCTGCCATTTTATGAGTCTAGATGAAGTAAATGGTCATTAGAGAATCTGAAAATTATGGAAACTGAAATTATGAGAAAGTTAAACAGTTTTATAGGAAAAAATTACATATCTTCACAAAAAAAAAAAAATTCTAAATGAGAGTTTGTAAATAGAGACGATAGCAACGGGGTTTAGGTATTTAAATAGGATTTTTTAAATTTGTTTTTGGTTTATCCAAAGCAACTCATATAGTTATAGTTAAATGTAAAAAACAAAATCTAAGTTTCCTTTTCAAACCACCACAAGATGACATCATAATATAACCCTGTTAAACATCAAGTATATTTCTCCAAACCTATTTGGTAAATTGTGCATGAAAACAAAACAAAAAAAGCTTTAAGAAGAGGTTTTTTTTAATAAACACTCAAAAATAGCATTTGAGGGTTGACTCAAACTCAAACACATCTCTTCTGTCTTTGTGGGTCCTGTGTTTAGTGCCATGGCCTTTGTCGCTTAATCTGTAAATCATTTAACCGCATGGTGAGCAGACAGTCCAGGTGTAGTGCATTTTGGAAAAGGAGAAAAAAAAGGGGGGGAATACTGAATGTTTGGTGATTGGGATCAGATTCTTTCCATTCGGAGAAAACAAATCCTCATTAAGGCTTTAATGGTTTGATCACAGCCTCTGAAACGTGAAGAGGAATAAATGCTCTGAAGCAGCAACCAATGACATAGTAACGACCAATAACTAACACCTGGCAATAATTTAATACTTATTTTTTAAACCGAAATACTCATTACCAGTAACTGTGTAAAACAATTAGGTCATATGACCATGGTTCACCTTTAGGCCGCGCACTGTGAGCGTCCATCTTTTTGAGACTAGAAGAGACAGAGTGGCACAATAGCGGCATCTTTTTCCTGCCTAGTGATAAGTACTGTAATCTTATATTCTGGTGTGAATTAAAAACAAAATCCAATCAACAGGCGGAAGAGATTTTAGTTGAAAGGCGTAAAACCAGAGAGCATTTAGAGGAGCCATAACCCACAGATCAGGAGAGGAGGAGGAGGTTTGACTGGGTGCACAGGCTCGTCTGCTTCACCAGTTCATACGTTCAGAACTTTCCCTTAATTTGTGTGTCGGCATATGGATGTGTGTGCAATATGTGTAAATATTAAATTTATTTATTTTAAAGTATTTATCTTGCATAAAATCCCAGCTAAAGAAATAGCAAAAATATGCAAAACAAAACAAAAGAGGGCTTTTACAATGTCAGTGATGTTTTATACATTTTTTTTTTAAAAGCACATTTAAAAGTAGGGCTGAAACGATTAATCGTGATGAATCAATTACTGAAATAATCATCAACTAAACGAGTACCACCCTCAGAGCAGGAATTACGTAAAAACTGTACAAAAATACATCCACATTGCATTAAAAAACATCTTTAAATATATTCTACCCTGAACACCAATAGTGGTAGCTCCAGCTTCACCTAAAGGAATGACATGTTATTGCATTTCAGGAGATAAGATGTTTATTTTCTGACATAAAAAAGAACCAATTTGTTAATTAGCATCTATTAATGCATTTTCAATATTATATAAAAAGGGTTAAATGAAAAATCTGCAGAATGTGCCATTTTTTTTGTGTGATTAATCGTTTTACCGTCAAAATAATCAACAGAATAATCAATTCCTAACTGATCGTTAGTCGCAGGCCTAGTAAAAAGTGACATTACAAATCCAAATTGATTAATCCTGACCAAACTTTTAAAAGTTTCATATGGACTGAATCTATCCTGTACCAGTATGGAGTCAGACAAGCAGCTAATGGTGGCTGCAGGCAGCGAGGCTGAGCTTCAGCTCACATCGAGAGTCTTTTCAGACACATATGGATGTGATTTGACCAAATGACCAGATGCTGATTTCCCAAACATGTTTATCCTGCCAGACACAAAGCTCCAACAGAGATTCTGCACCAAAAGAGCAAACCTGGAAAAACCTCTGAGTCACAAAAGGCACAAGGGCCTCCCAGACAGCCAAAACACTTCCTCTAATTTACATTATCAGACATGAAAAGCAAATATCCCTTTTCACATTTAACTCCACTGGAAGCTGTTATGCTGACGAGCGTTTTGCGTGGATACTTGCTGAAGATATAAACCGACAGTTCCAGAAAACAGTCATGTAGCCTTCCAGGCCATGTGGACGTTTGTACAGGTGTATAATTTATTATCTACTATGAGTAGCAATTAGTCACATTTTTCAGAGTACAAATAATGTGCCTGTGCTTTAGCATTTCTCACCGTTTAAGGGACATTTTTCCAACAAAAAAAAACACTACAATGTGAGGACCGGCTGCTCCTTATGAGACCCAAAACCCCATAAGAAGAAGTGCTGCATGAGGGTTAGACTAAAGAAATTGCTAAAAAATGAATGGAAATCGATGAAAAATCTTTGCAAAGATAGAAAGATGTAAAAATGCGTGTATGCAGGTTACCTGAGGTTAGTGTTTTGGCTGTCCGGGGCCACGCGGGAACCATTTGAACTCGGGCTGCTGAAGAAAACAGGAGGACAGAAAGGGAGGGAGAAAAAGGAGAAAAAAAACAAAGGAGGAGAGAAAGTTAAAAGGCACCCAAAAAAAAAACACAGGCGAACGACACGAGTGAAGAATAAGGATGGGTTTAAAAAGAACAAACAGAAAAACAGATGTGGCAGAGAGGAAAATTAATAAGGAGGGCAGGTTCAAAGAAAATAAACCAGACAAAAAATATACAAGGAAGAGGAGAGAGACAAATGGGAAGATGAAAGTGGGTGAGAAGAAAACATGGACACGATGACATGGATAAAAAGATGGAAAGACAATCAGCAGGGAGATTTGAAGTTGGAGGAAGAGAAAAACAACAAAAAAAATGAAATTAGATAAGGGCAAAGGAGCAATCAGTGCTAAAATCACATTATTTATGATTCAAACTGGAAATCATTGATTGAAAAGAACTTTACAATCAGATTATATAAAATGTAACCAAGTCTCTTAAAGTTGCAATAAGACTTTCCTAAGGGAAACCATTGGTGTCAACATTTGTTTAGTGTGAATACAAAAACAGAGCAGATTGCTGAATAGATTCAGAAAGACTGTAATCAGAAACAGTCGGTTCAAATAATAAATGAAAGTAGTTTAAGAAAAATCTGTTTCCAAATGCATCGAGATGCAGACATCAATGATTTTGACTCAATTAACATTTGTCACAACTCTATAGCAGTGATACTAATTTACAACCTCATTATGATTATCGCAGAAGGTTGAAGTCTGAAGCGCACTGACAGTTTATGTCGAGTATCGCATGAAAAAACAAAATCACTGGTATAAAATCTATGTCATTTGGAAGATGGGTGACATTCAGAGGAAATCTTTCAAAACAACAACCAAGAGGAATTATATTGGACATTTCAGCCAAAGTAAAACCGCTCACCTTTCCTGCTGCCAAAACCAGAAGCCTAAGTTAACAAGCTTTAGCATTACTGGCTTGTTAGCATAGCTAGTTGTTAATAATGCTAACAACTATCATTACAAGTTGTGAGCAGCGAGTAATACTAACAACTAGTAATGCTAGTTAGCAAGTAGTGCTAACTAGTTTGTTAGTAACGCTAACAAATGGTTTGTTTCTGCATGTTTCACCACCTCAAATTTAAGACATTTTAAGATTATTATGAATGAAATTTAAGACCTGTATAACACCAGTAATGTAGTAAAGAAAACTGAATATTCTATATAGTAAGGCCATATTTTTATTTATTTATTTTTTTGAGAATGAATATAGTATCATACAGGTTGGGAAAAGAAGTGAGCCAGTGGCAAAGTCAAATGTCGTCCAATGATGGACGCCAAAAAGCAAGCTAGCTAGAAAGGGTTTTGTAGGGACTAGTTAGCAGTAGCCTCAACCGCCTCGAGTCACGGAAGATGTCTGTGCGTGACTCGAGCTTTAAACTAAACAGAGTATAGAAGGTCAAATAGTCCTACCAATCTGTGATTAACACATTTAATGTCAACTTACATATTGTCCAATAAATTTAAGATAATTTAAGGCTTTATTTTATTTCTACATGCATGAATTAAAGACTTTTTAAGGATGTGCAGACACCCTGATACAGGCATTTCTCAAACTGGGACTCTTGCATTGACCTCAAATGTTCCGTCATCAGAGCCTGACAAAGCTACGACCGCACTCACTTGAGCACCAGATGCAGGTTAGCAGACAGTCGTGGATCTGTGAACTGTGTTGTTCGATTGTTGTGGTCAACAAAGTAGACGCGGCCAGTGGCGGTGTTCCTGATCTCCCAGCCTGGAGGCAGTGGTCCCAGCTCCTCACAGTTCACATTGCTTAAGTCCCTAACAGGAAAAGAAAAACAGAAAGAAAGCATACATGCTGACATCTTGAAACCGGAAGGCAAATGTAAAAAGGATAAACTTCATAAGACACATAAATAAGGTGCAATCATCTTAGTCTTTCTTCCTAATTCTTCCCACTCTCGTTCTGCTCTTCATCCTTGAAACTCCAATCTGGGATAATAATGTGGCTGTTGCCTTTGTGTGTGAAGTGAGGACACATTAGTCAGGAATGAAACGCTGGTTTTCTTTCCCTCATCACAAATACCAAATCTTTTCAGCAGCTCCGTCTAAAATGACTGAACCCAGATGTTGTTGCTGTGGGTTGGACGTCGTCCTCCTGCTCAGCCACGGCCAAAAATGCAGAGAAACGGCCCGGCGTGTAATGTTTAGGGAATTGGGTAACAAACTCTAAAGTGTTAGCGAAACAGCATGACAGAATCCGCCGTCTCATTCCACAACGATCCAAAAAAAAAAACAAAAAAACAGAAACAAAAAAAACATGCTGATCCAACTTTAAACAATTGGCCTGGCTGGCCAAGATCTGAGCCTAAAGTTTGACTAAACGTCTGTTTCTGAAAGCAAAACAGCAAGAAGAGGAAAACGTACACCTGCTGAAGGCAAAGGCCGCTTCTTCTTGAGTCTGACATTTTAAAGCCACAGAGGTCGGCTCTTTAGTCAAACATGTTTTTGGCTGAATTCGACTGTGTGATTGGACTCAACTGGAATGAACTGAATTAGTTTGAATTTCTGCTGGGCCAGATTTCATTCAGGTGGATGTGTATTGGGTCTGTTTAATTTGTGTCTTCGGACGGCTCCTGCTGTACAAACAACATGCTCTAAATTACACAAACAGAAATAAACAAGGCTGAAGGAGGTACCTGGGGACTCGGGGGTCGTGCCAGGTGCTGACTCCAGTCTGAGTGTGAAGGAAATACACCTGGCCCTGCTGGGTGGTTCTTTGTTCTGAAACAGAAATCAATTTGATTAGAACCTTTAAAAAAATTAAAAATCCAAACAATAAGTTGAGCTTATTAATAAGGCTCTGCTGGCCAAACATGGAACAGGCAACTTGTCCATGTTGTGAATGAAGTCTATTATTTAGATTTCATTCACTTACGACTATGTACTCGTAATATTACGACTTTATTATTATAATTTCACTATTATTTTTCATTTTCTTGGCCGTAACGCTCTGTCATAATTTCTATCATTAAATCTGTATTACTTTTTCTCTGAGTTTTAGCAGCACACAGATTATAAATGGCACTTTGAGTAAATATGGCATTGTGACTGCAACACTGAAACAAGTTGCCTGCAACAATCTTGAAATGATAACTGCGACTCCGTTTATTACGCAGCTCAGACCGTTTTTATTTCTCCTCCTTTCGCAGTTTAAGACAGAATCTTAAATGTTCGGATTAAAGCATTTTAGCAATATGTGATTAAAGAGAGCAACCGATTTAACTTGAATTTAAACTTACTGGGAATTGGCTGCCAATATGTTTGTGCGAATAATTTGCATAAAACATCTAAAAACGTAGAAATCAGTGTTAACAGGTCAAAACTCCAGACAGATTTCTCCTTGGCAGAAATAGTACCTGCTGCCACTACTGTACTCAAAAGCTGATCCATCACAACAAACCCCCCGCCCAGCTTCCTGCTGCCTCGCTCCTTTTTCCCCTTCATTGCCTCTGTTTCTGTCTGGCCACTCCCAGCGAGCGGTTCAGAGAGTTCAGCCGAGGAAGAGCCGCTCTGAAGCTGCCGGGCATCAGTGACTCACTTTGCCCGACCTCGACCAGCCTCACTGGACACACGGGGACCTTTCAAAGGAGACACAGTGCCCAGCAGTGTCATTCTGAATCACTGACATGTAGAACGCCGGGGCTTTTTAAATCGTCTCTGAGGGCTTTGTGGTTGGGACTGTGGATGAATCCTAAAAGTACACTTTTTCTGACGGCAAAAAAAAAAAACTTTCAAAGTCGCCAATTAAGTACACTTCGCAGTGTGGTCATTTTTCCAGTGTATTGCTGAACAATGGCAAGCTCTGAATTTTTTTGCAGAGAAAGGAGAAACGGCGAAAGTTTAAAAGTTGATGAAAACGTCAAACTACTTTCTTTTACAGTTTTGTTGAAACATCAGACCTTTCATAGCATTTCAGTCTGTCACTTCCTAAAACAGATATTTTAAAAATCCAAATGAGTCATCTTGAACTTGAGTGGGCGTTTGGTGACTTTGTGTCAAATGAAGAACTTCTTTGCGTTTATATTTTTTTTAGGAGTCGGTGTGAAATCTGAGCTGTTACCCGGTAAGATCAGGGATGAATATATCATCACATACCTCTGATGAAAAACTACACGAGATAAAAACCTAATAAGAGGAAACAAGCCTGTATGACCTCCAGAATAAATGCTTCTGAAGTCTGGTTTAAAGATTAAGTTATGGTCCGTTGTCCTCTGTCAACTCACCCACCCGTCTGCCATGAATGTCGTCACAAAACGAGGTTTGTGGAGATTGAATTTAAGCCCAGCTGGCAAGCAAAGTAACAAATCTTGATCTTAGAAAAAAGCAAATGTCCCACTTAATCTCAGCGTTCGGTGCAATAGTAGGAAGCTTTGTAGCGGTTAGGGAGGTGTCTGGATAAATCCTTAATGAGTTTTGTAACATCCTAAGAAGGTAGGAGCAATGTCGCAATGATTAAAATAGTTGGATTTAGTATTTAAACCTAAACCATCACAATACAGACTTTACCAATTGTCATAGAAAGTAGGTCAGACACAGGATAGAATAAGAGACCATAAGCAGCAGTTCACACCAAATGAATGCAGGATTAGCAGGTAATAGTGATGCACCAGAGTTTGAGGACCCAGCTACTTGAAGTAGGAGCGCTGAAATACGCTAATGTTCACGAAATAGAATACTTACAGAAAGACTTCTGTATGTTTATTCTATTTCCTCAATACTGTGTGTTAATCTTCAAGTCCTACACCTGCAGCTTTACTAACTTTAAAAAAATAATAATGTAAAACTGAACCAAAGCCTTCCAATTCCAATTGGGAACAGTGACGCACTTCAGCAAATCTTCCAGATATTCTGATCCGGCAGAAAGCTAAGCCAGTGACGAGTGGGCAGGTGTTCGGTGGAGCCAGTCTGCTTCTCACCGTAGCCCTCGGGCAGATCGGGCGGCGTATGCAGGTGCGTTCGACTCATGTAGTTCCGATGCCGCTGCGATCGGACCCGCCGCTCCTGGATGCGCTGTTCGCCCGGAGGTCCGCTGGCCACGGCCCCGTTAACGGGAGTCATCACCGGCGTGTTTTCGTCTACCACGCAGCTCAGCGGACGCCCGGACGGGCTAGAGTACTCCGACGCCGGCCTGGAAATGAGCAGAGAGCGTGAGTGATTCTGGACACTGGATTAACATACTTCCTGAAACGTGCGAAATTATTTTAGCAAATGCAAAAAAACAGAAAGGTTTTAAAAGCATGGAGGGGTTATCAGCGGACGTTACGCTGCGTCAGCAACCACTGTTCGGTGCATGTCGTCTGCAGACAGAAAGCAGGATTATCCTAACTATTTAAACTATTTACAATTAGGCTAATAAAATTATTTACAACACACTGTCGCTACATGCCTATTTTCAATGTGCTGCATGGTTCCCACAGGTGATTTTTCCTCATCATTGATCCACTCGCCTGCAGACATCGTCAGTTTGGAAGCATAACTTATTTTTATGACGCTGTGATAAATGGTTGCTGACAGAATACTAAAAACTAATATAATGTTACCACAGCAGTACAATGGTGGGTAACCATGGTAACCGGTGGCAGTTCAAAGGCAGGTTGGCGCTTTCTGCAGACAGGTTGTGTGCGCCACCCATCGTGTTTACAAACAAATTATGCTTCCATATATTACAGCCATAAGTGGCAGACTGATTTCTCTTATATTTTTTAAAATATACATGAATCATAGTAAATTTATAAAACAACTTGGGTTTTTACTTTTCAATAAAAGTTGCCTATATTTGGTTTTTATTGCTCAGAATTAACAAAAAAGACATTTTATTTTCCGTTGAGACCTTTAAAAACTCTCAAAGTGGATCCTTTTCTTTTATAGTTTTGGATCGACAATAATTTACACACCCTTTTCAACAATAACAAAAAAAATACTATTTTACTCATTAAATTAAAGTATTGCAACTTGCTTTATAGTTGAGAAGGTTAAAAATAAGTCAGTATTTTTGTGAAAGTAGTTGGTTTTATTGTGGATTTTATTCTATTTCATCTATATAAACTAGATCAAATCCCCAAAAATATGATGGGTGTGTTTTTCTGGTATCATTTATGGTCTTACTGTTGTCAAAGATGATAGATGGTAGGGAAAAAAAAAAACAACAACAAAAAGCCTTCGTGACCCAACAGCCTGTGCCAACATGTGTGTGTTACTTAAGAAAAAATACATGATAAGCAGACACAAACACAGTCCGACTCACTGACAGTTTTTTTTTTTGTGTGTGTGCGTGTGTGTGTGTGTAGCAGTGTCTAACCACCGTCTGGCCAGAGTTGCTGACGCCTTGGCTATCTAAAGCCTCGGACCCAGAAGTCTTTCACACACAGTTTTCTCCCACCCATTTCCTCCCTTCACGGTTCTCGTTTCTCCCCACCTTTGCCTCCACTTTTCTTTATCCTATCTTCACTCGCCTGATTGTTGCGGCATCTGAACAAATCTCTCCATCAAACATTTTAAAGATCCAACAACGAACATTTTTTTCACCCCCCACTCCACCTGCTCACCACCTGTAATTTCCCTCATCGCACCCCTTTGGCCCCATTTCTCACCATTTCCTCTCTTTCTCTCAGAACTCTGAGCGTTGCCGCTCAGAGCCGACTACAGATGCGTGGTAAAACTGGGTGAGAAGGTGCAGAGGTTTATTTGTTTACTCCCCTAATGGCTCCGCTGATATGCGCCAGGGAGGAAGGCGACAGTCGTTCTCGCAGCAAGTGAAGCCAGGCTGTCGGACTGACTGGCTAGGTTTATCTAGCTGTGCACGTGCACGCCTGCTTTGTCTTTGTGTGAGTGTGTGCACGCATGAAGCCCTGCTGGAGGAAACTGACAGCACTCATTACCAGCAGACTGTTATTGTTGTTGTGCGCTTAAGTGGAAGTGTTGTGTTTTGTTTTTTTTTTAAGAAGGGAAGTAGGAGAAAGTACAACTAGCATCTCTGTACCACATTAACTAAGCCGTTATTATAATATGCTCTACATCATTTTGTTTTGTGCCGTTCCGCACGGCATACTGGTACCTGGTGGGTCTCTCCCATTGCGTGGTGCGGGTGATGTGGTTCAGGTACTGTATCCTCCCAGATGCTGTCCTCCTTTCTTCCCAGCTGTTGAATTCAAAGAAACCGGTAAATTGCATAAGCACTTCATCTTCAAAGTTTTATTTTTACCAACACACACAGATACTGACATTTAAAAACTCAGATTATAGTTAAATGTTCATGACAAAAAATGAAATGCTGACCCATCAGGCAAATCGTTGTCAAACAGGCGGCTGCAGTCGACCACTGGTCCCCCGGATCCGATGCGATCTCTGGACTGAAGACTCACTGGTTTTTGTGCAAAATGAAAGAGGACAGTTAATTAGTGATATTTACAGACCACAAGGCTCAAATAATGATATTAATACCATATAATGTGTGTGAACTCTTCTCAGCATGATGATGTGCGACTGAACAGTTATCAGCTGTTGAAATACTGGGAAAATCTGAATACATCCTTAGATCTACACATTTCTTTTATTTTTGTCATTTAAGCTGTAATTGAATTTGTTTCAGAAAAATAAATGGTGAGTTTAGGTAGAAAGCTGTCTGACTGCCCTACTTTTTATTATATGCATCAAAACTAAAAAAACAAACAATAAAAAAAACTTTAATTTTAGGCACCAAACAAAACATGTTTATTCATGAACTTTGTTTTAAATTTCATAAAAGTCTGAAAAAAGTTAAGACGTGCAGAAATAAGGATATGGTTACAATTCATGATTTTCCTACATCAATTTAAAACTTTTCTTTAACCAAATAAAAAAAAAAGGTGGAAAAAGTGCTGCACAAAGAACAAAAAAATCTAATCAGCTAAATATGAGCAACAAAACAAATATAAAACAATTTTAAATAACTAAATTAGACATAATTTTGCACAGAAAAGCTAAGCGTTCTGCTCGACTTGAACTAGAAGCCAATGAATAAAATTTTTGTTATAAAAATGACTTTTAATGATCTACGACTCTTATGTGCAAAAGTTTCTCCAGAAGTCAGATGGCATTTCTGAAAAGGTTCTGCATAAGAGTTCAGTTGGATCCATTAAGTAACACTTTTTAACTGACAATAATTACTAAAATAAAATCAACAAATAAAAGCTAAAATCAAAATAAGAAAGTGAAAGCCTGGTTGGTGAATCTCTACCAGGCAGCCCTGCTTTTCAACCAGGTAGGACCGTCATCGCTGCAGATTTGCTTTAAGACCCACAATCTGACCTTGAAATACGAAGCGACTTCAAGCACATGCCACTGAACTGGAGCGGCCCTTACCTACTATCTGTCCTCTCACGGTGTCGTTATCATTGGGGCCCAGCCTGTTCAGGTCCAGTCTCTGATCTGCAAAAACCAGACCGACACAAATTCAGACCCTCTTTTACATTTTTGCCAAGAGTTTTCAACGGACACTGAAAAATAACAACAAATATCGATTTTATTTGTGTGCGACATTTTGAACAAACTTCCAGAAAACTGCAAAACCGCTGGAATATGTTTAAATCTTGTTTAAATCGAGGCTAAAACCCACCTGTTTAGAGTTCTAGTAACTGGAACATTGATCAGAATATTTGATGGATATTTGCTTTGATGATGCCATTTGACAAAATTTAATGTTTATTGCTTGTTTCATAGTTGAATCATGTATTTTGTGTGTGTGTGTGTGTGTGTGTGTGTGTGTGTGTGTGTGTGTGTGTGTGTGTGTGTGTGTGTGTGTGTGTGTGTGTGTGTGAGGCACTTTGAACTGCATTTTTGTGTAGATTGACTGTAATAAACAGGTGTTGCTCCTGCAGGAGGCTGATATTTGTCCCTGCAGCACATGAAAGTAATTTGGAACCAAACATTTAGTTTTATTGTCATGAACGAATCTCCAAGACCAAAAATCCTTGACCTGGCTGTGAGGAATGATTTGTAAGCAATGCTGAAGTTGGTATCTGGACTCAAGTCTCCCAATCAGCTCTTTCACCATTTAAGGATTCTGGGATGCATTTGATCACTTCCACTTTGTTTTCTACATTTTTAAAACATTTATCCAAGATTTGCGACAACAAAACTTGAACTGATGATCATAGAAGATGATTTCATATTGTACACCCTTCATGAAACATAACCTCTCCCAGTATAAAAGTTATTCTTACTCTGCGTTCAAATTGCTTCAAGTACCAACATTTTACTTTGAGTATATGCTTATATACTGAGCCCTTCTGACTATAGAAAGGTTGTAATGTCAAAATCCAAAAGTGCACAAAACCATGAGCCATAATATCACAAGTGCCCACTTAAAATCTAGTGGGTTTCCTGACTGTCACCAAATGAGGAGGACAAAAGTGGACACAAGACGGCATGTGAGTGGGGTCAGCGTGGAAAGTAAGAGTGAGGGAAAGAAAATAAAATGTTCTATAAAATCCAACAGTAAAACCAAAGTGATCTGACTTATTATGTAGTCGGTTGGCCACAAAAATGTAATATGCTTGGAAAAGGCTGTTTTTATCTATATAGAAATCCCAAACATTCCTATAGTTTCTGTGTGTGTGTTTGTGTTGGAGTGTATGTTAGTGTGTTTATGTGTGCACAAATACATCTGCTCCGGATATGTGTCTAGACTAAACAGGGATGGTCTGAGCCTTACATGGCAGGAGCGGTAATGAGATTTCTTTCTGAAATTAGAGAGGAGGGAAAACAGAGAAAATGTACAGACCTTTAACCACAAGCATTCCCCGAACCGAATCGCCGGAGCTCCGAAAACTTTCTGCCGCTGCAGACTAAACTGAGCAATTGGAAATGTGGACCCCTGTGTAGATGAGCCAAATGAGCCATGTGCCTTTTTTTCTCTCTCTTTTTGACAGTAGCTTTATTTGGCATATTTACATCGCCTCACAAGATGAACGTTTTGGAACATGTGCAAAGTTGGTGAATTTGCAGGTTTATAACTGAGGGAGCATAAAAGGCTAAACTCAGTTTTTGCCAACTGTGCAAAGTTCTTACACTTTGGTAAGAGAAAAAAAAAAAAAAAAGAAAGAAGGGAGTTATTGTGTGAGTTTGCATCAGATGACAATGCATAACGTGTGAATAATGGGTTTTGACAACCAAAGCAATTCCAGTAATGTCTTATTATATGGTTTTTTTTTGTGTGTGTGTCGAGGCCACAGATTCATCTGTCTGCAGCACATAGGACAAGGACAAAGGGATAAACGTGCGGGCCGAGTCCCGTCATCGAGCACGTCTCCTTGTCCACTTCCTGTGGTTGAGATAAAGTATAACTTCTGCTATGATGGCCTGTCTGGAGCCTGAACTGTCTCACAGGAAAAACCTTGGGCAACAGCTATGCTGCTGAGTTTCCTTTATTTTCTTTTTCTTTTTTTTTCTTTTTTTCGTTATAAGGGATGGTAAAATTAATAAGCTGAGAACTAAACTTGAACAGAATCAGAAAAACTCACACTGTCAACACCATCTTCAATGCAATAATCCAGTGAGGTAATTCAGATTAAAAGGACAATAATTAGAATAATTTTCAAGCAATTACAGGAAAGGATTTAATTACACTAAATCAGCTTTTATTATTATTATTATTATTATTATTATTATTATTATTATTGTTGTTGTTTCAGTTTAAGTTGTTAAAATAAGAAAAGCAGCTAGCTGTTATAAAAAGGCTCCTCTTTGTACTCTCAGACTGTTGCACACTGGGAAAATTTTCCTAGGAGCGGAAAACCAGGTCAGTAAAAATGTTAGGAGGTCACAGCTTTAAAAACAATTCTTATTATTTTGAATGAATTAAAAATTTTATATACATTTATTTATTTATTTGGTTTTACATTTAATTCTTGACTGAAGACTCTGAATTCCTTTCTATGACCTGAACACTAGGTGGGGCATTGGCCCCCATGGGCCACCCATTGGGGGGCGCCACTGCTCACGAACAAAACAAATGTGTGGAATACCCAGCACTCTATTTGACTGGGTGGTTGATTTAATCACAGTGCATTGCTTTGAAATTATTTGTACGCAACATCTGACATAGAAAACACATCTTGAAGAAGCTCTGAGAGTCGATTATTATTGCTAAAAATCACTAGATAACTTTGTCTGCTTTCTTGCAGACACTTGGTCTAACCAACAGGTTTGCCTTCTTGCGATGAGTAAAAGGTGGGATTTAGAAACAATGTTTAAAATAGCTCACCCAACCACATGATTGCTGCTTAATCATTTATTTGCTTTTACTCCAAGGAGCCTCCAACCAACTTTCCAACAGGTCTGACAAGCCTTTTAGAATAGAGGCCATGCCAGGCGTGCAGAAAGGATACAAAGAGAGCAGACACCATTGACCTAATTTCAGCGAATGCTCAGTGACACAAAACGCAGACCGAAATACAAACAGGTACTTACAGCCCGTGTCTTTGAGTCTGTTGATGGCATTGGACAGGAGCCGGACGCAGCCGAGGAATCCCGCGCCCTGCTTTTTGTGGATCTTCTTGTGGTTCCAGACGCTGATCGTAATGGAGTCCGACTTCCCGATGTAGCTACGAGACAGAAAAGGCGTCAAAAAGTCAATTTGATGCCTAATTTGCATGCAGAAACTACAAAAACGGTATTTGTACTCATCTGAATACAAACCAAGACAAATTTGACCAGTTCACGTCAAAATAAAACCATGCAATTTTACAATTTTGTCAGTGGTTTTTTGTCAGTGCTTTATATATATATATATATATATATATATATATATATATATATATATATATATATATATCTGTGTGTATATATATAGCTCACACACA